CATGGCCGCTCTTGTATTTCAGATATATTGGACCCTCTCAGCAGCTCTTTCTAGTTTACATCTTCTCTTTCTTTTTCTTAATGGAATGTGCCTTAAGCAGATCTGAAGAACCACGGAGTTAATTTTTTATTAGAATCTGCTTTCCAGTAACTGTATTCCTAGCTCAAGCAGGGTTGAGTGGACCCTTCGCTTCCGGCTTATGGAAGGTCAATTACTTGAAACTCAACACTCTAGTATCCACAAAATAGGGGCACTTGCATCCTGCAGAGGTGTCTGACAGCGATGAGGCTTCGGGTACTGTCTTGAGATGTCGAGCCACAGTTAATCCTCTCTCACTTGTCTTCGTATAACTGATTGCTATAGACACTTACCACACTACCAAGATATGTCTTTTATTGTTCAGATATTCACACTTCTTCCTTATTTTATGGACATAGCTTTATTACAGGCAACATCAGCAGTACTCGAGGAAGATAAATGCTAGCTGCTGTTTCTTCTTGCTTGCTTGTTTTCATCTTTTTTTATTTTTTATTTTACATCATTTTCTTATCCCTCTTTGTATGATTTGTTTATGGATCACTTGCTGCGCTTGCCTGACTTAGCGCTTAACTCTGCTTGGAAACACACCTTGTCATGTAGGGGGGGATTGGAATGTATCGGAAATAAGTGGGGAATATGGGAGTAAGGGATTATGTAGGCAGGGGAGAGGCAGGCGAGGTGGTAGGAGTGAGATGATTAGCGGAGGTAGGTAATGACAGGTCAGTGGTGACCACCACGACACTCTCATTAACTCTACACTACTCACTAACATATGCCTCGCCCACTCTTCACTCATATATAAACATAATAAAATATAAGAAAAAAGAATAGAAAATAACGGGGACAGTGAATATTACTATTCTGCTCAAACATAGTTTATTATTAAGTCCTTGTACAATAATATATTTGGGAACAGGAGAACATTATTGGGGTTTAGATAAATGGGGTGGTACACATAAGCAGTGAGACAGGGAACACAATCAACTTGACAAAAATTTGAATATAAACTTACGATATAGTACAAGGACATTTCCACTACAGGAACTAAGCCACAGGTCCCAAGACCTACACAGCACGAGTACTGCGCCAAGCCAGTACTCTGCCAAATGCCTCCAACAGTCTCCAGAGACTTCAGCAGCCTTCTCCCGAGCCCTGCACCCCAGCAGCCGCTCCGCTCGAAGTCTCTGCTCAGGAGCTCTGCACCCCAGCAGCAGCTCTGCTCGAATCTCCGATCTTTGCTTCCTTTGGGGCTTTTATGGTGGTCCAAGGAAACCCCTCCACAACCACGTGTACGACCTGACGCCTAGGTCTGACGCCATCAAGAACAAAAGACCTCAGACGTGGGTGTGGCTACAGACGTTTGCCAAGGCAAAGTGTGACCATATAATTGGTTAAATTAGGTCTCCCAAGAGACCTCACAAGCCCAACTGAACTACATCACATTCCCCTTTCTCCCCCAATTTAAAATATCTGAGAACTAGGACAATTTGTCCTATTTTATTAGACATTTAATCCTAACCCTTAATCTATTACAATACAAAGACAAAATTATACAAAATTTACAAAATTATTCAGTTACATATATTTCCCTCAGCCTCCTCAACTACCCCCATGGCAGTATATCATACACCTCGCAGTTGACCAGCATAATAGTTGCTCTCTGGTGCAAAGCCTCCTTACCCGTCATTTCTCCTTAAAAACTAAATATCGGGCTCCAGTGCCTTCCCTACTTCTACTAGAAATGCACTAGCCAATGCTAGTCACCCTCGCACGTTATCCATTGGGCCAAACCTCTCTAGGCTTCTTTGGCGTGGAAAACTGCTCCAACGGGTTGCATTCTTTCAAGTAACTGCAACTGGACCACTTCACGACCACCAAGGTCGCATTTTCGGCACACTTCACATGCACACTACAACATCTGAAAATCGAGACAGGGCAAGCATCGCAGCTAAGACCCTCCATTATCCTATGCCACTACTAGGATTCACTGGCCTCATAAAACAAGGCAGCCATAATCATGGACCGTATTCAAGGTCATCTTATTTCACACAGGTAACACTAACACTTCTGGCAAGTCAAAGTAGGCTGGGGACATCTCACACTCTTAATTGTTTCTCATGGCTGGCAGGACATCCCCGCATACCAGGCTGGTCCCAGCAGCTGGAGTCCATCTCCGTGGCTCACGTCCTTCCACATCTCTGAGGATGGCAGCTCCTTCATAGTAGATTCTCCTGTCCTGGCACACCAGCCAGAATCCTTCACACACCAGTGCAGCATCACCGCCATCTCCTCCTCTTGAGCTAGGCAGCATCGCAGCATCACAGCACGGCCGTATCACAGCAGCACACAGCACGGCCACAGCATCGCAGCACGGTCCCAGCATCTCAGCATCACAGCACGGCTGCAGAATCTCAACATCACAGCAGCACACAGCACGGCCACAGCATCGCAGCACGGCTACAGCATCGCAGCACGGCTACAGCATCTCAGCAGCATCACAGCAGCCAACATCAGCAGTAGCAGGCTATGGTCAGTTGCTCGAGGTGAGGTGAGGTCACTTCAGGTCATCAACAGCAGGTGCGGTCACCCATCCCTGGCAACTGCGGGTAACTGGCGGTCCGCGGGTGATGGTCACAGAGGCTGGGTGACACAGTCAGACACCCACTACAATAGATGACAGACCAGGGCAGCAATACAGCAACTGGGCACATCAGGTGGATAATAATCATAGGCATCTCTTCAGTGGGTGACAGTTGTGGGCTAGTCTTCCAAGGTGGGCTGGGTGACTTCTCGTTCCTCTGTAAATATTCAATTTCGGCCAGTAATTGCTTCCCCCAAAAGTCTCACCCAAATACTGATATTCTCCACCATTTATCCCAAACCAACAGCCAACTCCACCAAATATATTAATACAACCAAACAATTATTCAGACCCACTGTCAAGAAAAGGTCAGTTAAGGTCACTAGGATTATAATATCATTATAATAACACAAAATCAAATGGTAGCAAATGATAGCATAAATATAACCGAGCAGTCAAAAATAAGGCACATGGGACTGGTTCCTACTATAAAAATAATAAGAACCACCACCGCTTTGACACCATGTCATGTAGGGGGGTAATGGAACATATCGGATATAAGTGGGGAATATGGGAGTAAGCGATTATGAAGGCAGGGGAGAGGCAGGCGAGGTGGTAGGAGTGAGATGATTAGCGGAGGTAGGTAATGACAGGTCAGTGGTGACCACCACGACACTCTCATTAACTCTACACTACTCACTAACATATGCCTCGCCCACTCTTCACTCATATATAAACATAATAAAATATAAGAAAAAAGAATAGAAAATAACGGGGACAGTGAATATTACTATTCTACTCAAACACAGTTTATTATTAAGTCCTTGTACAATAATATATTTGGGAACAGGAGAACATTATTGGGGTTTAGATAAATGGGGTGGTACACATAAGCAGTGAGACAGGGAACACAATCAACTTGACGAAAATGAATATAACTTACAATATAGTACAGAGGACAGTTCACTACAGGAACTAAGCCACAGGTCCCAAGACCTACACAGCACGAGTACTGCACCAAGCCAGTACTCTGCCCAATGCCTCCAACAGTCTCCAGAGACTTCAGCAGCCTTCTCCCGAGCCCTGCACCCCAGCAGCCGCTCCGCTCGAAGTCTCTGCTCAGGAGCTCTGCACCCCAGCAGCAGCTCCGCTCGAATCTCCTGATCATTCTCTTCCTTGGGCTTTTATGGTGGTCCAAGCACCCTCCACAACCACGTGTACGACCTGACGCCTAGGTCTGACGCCGTCAAGAACAAAAAACCTCAGACGTGGGCGTGGCTACAGACGTTTGCCAAGGCAAGGTGTGACCATATAATTGGTTAAATTAGGTCTCCCAAGAGACCTCACAAGCCCAACTGAACTACATCACAACCTTGTTCTGTTGGTAATTGTAATTATGTGAATCATGGCAACTCCAGCCTGGCAAAAGGCCAGGAGCTACCTTCCTAAGATCTGATTGCCGAAAAATCAGTGGCCACCAGGCCACGGTGCCCCGTAGCCTGGTGGCTAAAACTCTCGCTTCACACGGCGAGGGTCCTGGTTCGACTGCCGGCCTGGGTAGAAACATTAAGAGTGTTTCTTTACGCCGGTTTTCTATGTTCCCCATCAGTAAAATGGGTACCTGGGTGTTAGTAGACTGGTGAGGGTCGCATCCTGGGACAAAACTAAAATAATTTGTCCGAAATGCTCATAATAAGGGGCTTTCTATATACTAGTTTGTCATTGATGTCAGCTATGGTCTGTATACCTTGTACATGTACTTGTGGAAATAAAGATATTATTATTATTATTATTATTATTATTATTATTATTATAGAGTGAAGTGAGAGGGACATGCCAGTGTAGCCATGACTGCTGAGAGGACACACAGGTACATGCTACGCATTATATTGTTACAATACTGGATACATAAGCTGTGTGCTGCTGCTGTGTTCTATGACAGTTACGTAATATGAAGAAGAGCTACCAATGTTTCCTCATTATTATTATGACACAGGATGGTGTTCCTACACCGGGTGATAGAATAGGTTGATCCAGGAGACATAAGTAGGGTGATAAAGGACATCATTAAGTACATTAATAGGTATTTAGCAGCTATGTAAGCTTGCAAGACTTCATGTCAGAAGACATGGAATGAAGACCTGTAAGACCTGGAGTTACTGTTGCTTTTCAAATGTTATCTCTTAGGAGAATCTATCTTCTCTCACACTTTCTCAGCCTCTTTCCAACCTTCTCCAAATATCTTCCTTTCTCTCCTTCTTACCAGGACTCAGGTTGAAGATCCTTCCTTCCAGGACTCAGGTTGAAGATCCTTCCTTCCAGGACTCAGGTTGAAGATCCTTCCTTACATTGTAACATTAAAAGGATTGGAAAAAATAAATTTACTAAATGCAAATTTATTCAGACTAATACATGAAGAAATATGAAAGACATGAAGTGCTGGAAGTGAAGTGAGAAGTGAAGTGAGAGGTATGTTACAGCGGCTATGGTAGAATTACAAAGATCAAGGAAACATTCCTGATTGAGAAAGAATGCGTCTACTGATTGTTTCTGATCTTAAAATATTTTAGTAATCATTTAAGGATTATTTAGTAATATTTGTTGCTTCATACTTTTGTGAAGATGTTTTCTCAATTTAATTTACATTAATTTTTTTTTCTGTTCATTTTTCATTATTGTTTTTATTGATCTTGAACCAAATGGAGTGATGAACATGAACAGGTAGTGGGTATCACGGTCGTCAACAGGTAGTGGGTATCTCGGTCGTCAACAGGTAGTGGGTATCTCGGTCGTCAACAGGTGTGGGTAAACTCGGTCGTCAACAGGTAGTAGGTATCTCGGTCGTCAACAGGTAGTGGGTATCTCGGTCGTCAACAGGTAGTGGGTATCTCGGTCGTCAACAGGTAGTGGGTATCTCGGTCGTCAACAGGTAGTGGGTATCTCGGTCGTCAACAGGTAGTGAGTATCTCGGTCGTCAACAGGTAGTGGGTATCTCGGTCGTCAACAGGTAGTGGGCATCATGGTCGTCAACACGTAGTGGGCATCATGGTCGTCAACAGGTAGTGGGCATCACGGTCGTCAACAGGTAGTGGGCATCACGGTCGTCAACAGGTAGTAGGCTTCACGGTCGTCAACAGGTAGTAGGCATCACGGTCGTCAACAGGTAGTAGGCTTCACGGTCGTCAACAGGTAGTAGGCTTCACGGTCGTCAACAGGTAGTAGGCATCACGGTCGTCAACAGGTAGTAGGCATCACGGTCGTCAACAGGTAGTAGGCATCACGGTCGTCAACGGGTAGTGGGCTTCACGGTCGTCAACACGTACATCCTGTAAAGATGTTATTAGAAATTCGTTTGAGTAACATATTGTGGCATTTGTTTCTATATTCAGTTAAAACTAATTATTTATTTTACAAAACACACACACACACACACACACACACACACACACACACACACACACACACACACACAGGATAGTAACGGAAAGCAGGAAGTGGGAGGTGCAAGTCAAAGCAGCAGAGGCTAGGATACAGAGTTTAGAAGAGGAACTGAAAAATCTGAAACAGCCTAAAGAACTAAAGAACATTTTGGGATCGACAACAGAGACTGCTACCTCAGTTACAAATAAGGGGACTGTAGGGAAAGAGGGAGCAAAACTGCATGTAGAAGCTCTATCAGTGGAGACTGTAGTAAATGAAAAAGCTAAGCTATATGTGGAGGCCCTAACAGAACCACAGCAAAAGCCCAGGGAAGCCGAGAAGGGAATATGACAGGCCACTGAGCCCAGGTACATTACTAGTGAAACCTTAAGAAAGAAAGCTGCAATGGAGGAAGTCAAATTGAATGAGGGATACACAGGATATGCATGGGAGAATTTAAAGGGTGAGGTCAGTCTTTGGGGTAGGGGGTCCAGGAAGTTAAAGGGGAAACATATGAAGCAAGAAAACAAGGGGGAAAAAAAGCAATTGAAGCATCATGAAAGCAATAGGAGAAGACGACATGACCCAGCTGGAAAATTTTTAGAGAATAGGGGTTTGTAAAAAAAAAAAAACCCGGGCCCGTGAAAGTGACCTTCAGGGCAGAATCGACTCGGAACAGGATCCTGCCTGAGAAAGCACGATTTAGGGACATGCCGGCATACAGGAAGGTGTATCTCGACTGCGAACAGAAAAACAAAAAGAAAGGCAGAAACTGAAGAGATGGACAAAGGCGAAAGGAGGAAAGAGAGGGGGGGGGAGAAGACAGACAGGAGATCCCAGACACAGGAAGAAATCAAATACAGTCTCCCTCACAACTTCCTAAAAAGCCCCCCAACCCGGTCAACCCCAGTGCAACCAAACACTCTAAACCAAAACACCCATGCCCTATCCAATGCCCCCCCCCACTACATTACAAACTCCACCCCCACAAACAACCACCCAGAGTTCCTTATCAGGTCCCCCCACTTCCCCAACCCCAATACACCTCCCAGACCACAGTCTTAGAAAAGAAGTTGAAGGTGTGGTACACAAATGCAGATGGAATAACAAATAAGTATGAGGATGGCATGAAAGAATCAAGGAGACATCCCCAGACATAATAGCACTCACAGAAACAAAACTCACCAAAAATAACAGATTCAATCTTTCCATCCGGGTTATCAAATCCTCAGGAAAGACGAGGGAGGAGAGGGGGAGGAGGAGTTGCACTGCTCAATTTAAAAACAGTGGGTTTTGAGAAAATGAAGGAATGGATGGCACGGGCGAAAGGGGCTACTTAGTAGGAACAATCCAGTCTAAGGGGCATAAGGTGTAATTGCAGTAATGTACAACCCACCACAGAAAAAAAGCAGGAGACCAAGAGAAGAATACAATGAGAGCAACAGAGCAATGGTCGACACACTAGCCGAGTGGCCAGGAAGGAGCACACATGGGGGGAGCAAAGTTACTAGTTATGGGGATTTTTAATCACAAGGAGATTTACTGGGAAAACCTGGGGCCCCATGGGGGTCCAGAAACATGGAGAGCCAAGATGATGGATGTTTGGGACTGGAAAACCTCATGCATCAACATGTTAGAGACACTACCAGAGAGAGAAGAAGAAGATGAACCAGCAAGACTGGACCTTGTTTTTCACCTTGAGTAGTTCGGACATCGAGGATATCATGTATGAAAGGCCCCTGGGAGCAGTGATCATTTAGTTTCTGTGCTTCGACTACATAATTGAGCTCCAAGTGGGGAGAGTAGCAGGAATAGGGTGGGTAAAACCAAACTACAAAAGGGGGAACTACTCAGGGATGAGGAACTTCCTTCAAGACATTCCCGTGGGAGAGGGAACTGACAGAAAACCAGTACGAGAAATGATGGACTATGTGGCAACAAAACGCAAGGAGGCAGAGGAGAGGTTTGTTCCCAAGGGAAACAGAAATAATGGGAAGAACAGAACGAGTCCTTGGTTCACACAAAGGTGTAGGGAGGCAAAAACTAGGTGTACTAGAGAATGGAAAAGGTACAGAAGACAGAGAACTCAGGAAAATAAAGAGATTAGCCGAAGAGCCAGAAACGAATATGCACAGATAAGAAGGGAGGCTCAGCGACAATATGAAAATGACATAGCATCGAAAGTCAAGAGTGACCCGAAGCTGTTGTATAGCCACATCAGGAGGAAAACAACAGTCAAGGACCAGGTAATCAGACTGAGGAAGGGTGATGGGGAATTCACAAGAAACGACCGAGAGGTTTGTCAGGAGCTCAACACAAGATTTTACAGTGGAAACCAGTAGGACTCCAGGAAATCATAACAGGGGGGTACACCAGCAAGTGCTGGATGAGGTACATATAAAAAAGGAAGAGGTGAAGAAGCTGCTATGCGAACTTGACACCTCAAAGGCGGTGGGACCAGACAACATCTCTCCATGGGTCCTTAAAGAAGGAGCAGAGATATTGTGTGTGCCATTAACAAAGATCTTCAACACATCATTTGAAACTGGGCAACTCCCTGAGGTATGGAAGATGGCAAATGCAGTCCCAATTTTTAAAAAGGGAGACAGACATGAGGCACTAAACTACAGACCTGTATCACTAACGTGTATAGTATGCAAGGTCATGGAGATGACATCAGGAGGAGAGTGGTGGAGCACCTGGAAAGAAACAAGTGTATAATTGACAACCAGTACGGTTTCAGAGAAGGAAAATCCTGTGTCACAAACCTACTAGAGTTTTATGACAAGGTGACAGAAGTAAGACAAGAGAGAGAGGGGTGGATTGAATGCATTTTTTTGGACTGCAAGAAGGCCTTCGACACAGTTCCTCATAGGAGGTTACTGCAAAAGCTAGAGGATCAGGCACACATAACAGGAAAGGCACTGCAATGGATCAGAGAATACCTGACGCGGAGGCAACAACGAGTCATGGTACGTGACGAGGTGTCAGAGTGGGCGCCTGTGACAAGCGGGGTTCCACAGGGGTCAGTCCTAGGACCTGTGCTGTTCTTGGTATATGTGAACGACATAATGGAAGGGATAGACTCAGAAGTGTCCTTGTTTGCAGATGATGTGAAGTTAATGAGAAGAATCAAATCGGATGAGGATCAGGCAGGACTACAAAGAGACCTGGACAGGCTGGACAGGTGGTCCAGCAACTGGCTTCTTGAATTCAACCCTGCAAAATACAAAGTCATGAAGATCGGAGAGGGGCAAAGAAGACCGCAGACATAGTATAGACAGGGTGGCCAAGGAATGCAAACCTCGCTCAAGGAGAAAGATCTTGGGTGACCATAACACCGAGCATGTCTCCGGAGGCACACATCTACCAGATAACTGCTGCAGCATATGGGTGCCTGGCAAACCTGAGAATAGCGTTCCGATACCTTAGTAAGGAATCGTTCAAGACACTGTACACTGTGTACATCAGGCCCATACTGGAGTATGCAGCACCAGTTTAGAACCCACACCTGGTCAAGCACGTCAAGAAGTTAGAGAAAGTGCAAAGGTTTGCAACAAGGTTAGTTCCGGAGCTCAGGGAAATGTCCTACGAAGAAAGGTTGAGGGAAATCGGACTGACGACATTGGAGGACAGGAGGGTCAGGGAAAACATGATAACAACATACAAAATACTGCGTGGAATGAACAAGGTAGACAGACACAGGATGTTCTAGAGAGGGGACACAGAAACAAAGGGTCAAAATTGGAAGCTGAAGACTCAGACGAGTCACAGGGACGTTAGGAAGTATTTCTTCAGTCATAGAGTCGTCACGAAATGGAATAGCCTAGCAAGTGATGTAGTGGAGGCAGGAACCATACATAGGTTTAAGACGAGGTATGACAAAGCTCTGGAAGCAGAAAGAGAGAGGAACTAGTAGCGATCAGTGAAGAGTCGGGGCCAGGAGCTGAGTCTCGACCCCTTCAACCACAATTAGGTGAATACACACACACACACACACACAAACACACACAAACACACACAAACACACACCAATACATTCCGATACCTTAATAAGGAATCGTTCAAAACACTCTGCACTTTGTACGTCAGGCCCATACTGGGGTACGCAGCACCAGTTTGGAACCCACACCTGGTCAAGCACAACAAGAAATTAGAGAAAGTACAAAGGTCTGCAACAAGGTTAGTTCCGGAGCTCAGGGGAATGTCCTACAAAGAAAAGTTGAGAGAAATCGGGCTGACGACTCTTGAGGACAGGAGGGTCAGGGAAGATATGATAACGACATGCAAAATACTGCATGGAATAGATAAGGTGGACAGAGACAGGGTGTTCCAGAGAGGGGACACAGAAAAAAAGGGTCACAATTGGAAGCTGAGGACTCAGACTGGTCACAGGGATGTCAGGAAATATTTCTTAAGTCATAGAGTCGTCAGGAAGGGGAATAAACTAGCAAGTGATGTAGTGGAGACAGGAACCATACATAGCTTTAAGACGAGGTATGACTAAGCTCAGGGAGCAGAGACAGAGAGGACCCAGTAGCAATCAGTGAAGAGGTGAAGAGGCCGGGCCAGGGGATTTTGATGAGCTGGAGAGAGGAGACAGAAGGTGGTAATTGCAGTGATGTATAACCCACCACAGAACAGCAGGAGGCCAAGGCAAGAGTATGATGAGAGTAACAGATGGATGGTTGACACACTGGCTGAAGTGGCCAGAAGGGCTTATAAGAGCAGGGCGAAGCTACTGATTGTGGGCGACTTCAGTCACAAAGATATTGACTAGGAGAACTTGGAGCCACATAGGGGCCCAGAAACGTGTCAGGTGAAGTACTGTTGCTACTCACCTGTGTCAGGTGAAGCACTGTTGCTACTCACCTGTGTCAGGTAAAGTACTGTTGTTACTCACCTGTGTCAGGTGAAGTACTGTTGCTACTCACCTGTGTCAGGTGAAGTACTGTTGCTACTCACCTGTGTCAGGTGAAGTGCTGTTGTTACTCACCTGGGTCAGGTGAAGTGCTGTTGTTACTCACCTGTGAGTCAGGTGAAGTACTGTTGTTACTCACCTGTGTCAGTTGAAGTACTGTTGTTACTCACCTGTGTCAGTTGAAGTACTGTTGTTACTCACCTGTGTCAGTTGAAGTACTGTTGTTATTCACCTGTGTCAGTTGAAGTGCTGTTGTTACTCACCTGTGTCAGTTGAAGTGCTGTTGTTACTCACCTGTGTCAGTTGAAGTGCTGTTGTTACTCACCTGTGTCAGTTGAAGTGCTGTTGTTACTCACCTGTGTCAGTTGAAGTACTGTTACTCACCTGTGTCAGTTGAAGTACTGTTGTTACTCACCTGTGTCAGCTGAAGTGCTGTTGTTACTCACCTGTGTCAGTTGAAGTACTGTTGTTACTCACCTGTGTCAGTTGAAGTGCTGTTGTTACCACCTGTTCGGGTTAAAGGGGCTGCTTTACTCACCGTGTCAGTTGAAGTACTGTTGTTACTCACCTGTTGGGTGAAGTCTGTTGTTACTCACCTGTGCAGGTGAAGTGCGTTGTTACTCCCCTGTGTCAATAAGAAAATGTTTTTTTACTCCCCGTGTCAAGTGAAGATGTTGTTACTACCTGTGTATCATTTGCGACTACTTTCTTTGCGGTAATTGGTGGTGGGATATTAACGCCCATCACTGTGCCACTGACAGCTGGACTACCTTGTTGCCCGGTTGTTGCAGGCGTAGTAGTTGCTTGGGGGGCGGCACTCCAGCAACACTTTTCCACAAAAAACACAACAACACGTTTCCATTGGACGATGCCTAAAACTCACTGTTAAGATATCAAATGTTAAAAAATATTTTTAATGAGAAAACGGGGGATCAAGTGAGAGACAAAAAATTAAAAAAGTTTCTGAAATATAGTCTGTTTCAGGGGCTCCCCTCTGTAAGGGAAAATTTGTCTACCTTACTCTTTATTTTTTCAAACTGACTTTTAATTTTCTGTAGGGGCAAAACCCCTTTTGGGTTTTTTGCAATCCCCCTATACGAACCCCCCATAGCGAATCCCCGAAAAGCGAAAACCCCCCTACAAAAAAAGCCATGACATTGACGAATATGTGTGTGAACCTGCCAGACCTCCTCCTGTTGAGATTTGGACACACACACACCACACACACACACACCACACACACACCACACACAACACACAACAACCACACACACACACCACACACGCACACACACACACACAACATACACACACACACACACCACACTACACACACACACACCACAACCAACACATACAAACACACAACACACACACATACACACACAAACCCACAACACACTACAACACACACACACACATACACAAACCCTACACACACCACACACACAACACACAACACACACACACACATACCACAAAAACCACCACCACACAAATCAATACACAACACCCATACACACACACGGGTAACAGGGGAAAGGGACTAAAAATGGATCAGGGGGTACTTGTCGGGAAGACAGCAGCGAGTCATGGTACGTGGCGAGGTGTCAGAGTGGGCACCTGTGACCAGCGGGGTCCCGCAGGGGTCAGTCCTAGGACCAGTGGTGTTTCTGGTATTTGTGAACGACATGACAGAAGGAATAGACTCTGAGGTGTCCCTGTTTGCAGATGACGTGAAGTTGATGAGAAGAATACACTCGATCGAAGACCAGGCAGAACTACAAAGGGATCTGGACAGGCTGCAGACCTGGTCCAGCAATTGGCTCCTGGAGTTCAATCCCACCAGGTGCAAAGTCATGAAGATTGGGGAAGGGCAAAGAAGGCTGCAGACGGAGTACAGTCTAGGGGGTCAGAGACTACAAACCTCACTCAAGGAAAAAGATCTTGGGGTGAGTATAACACCAGGCACATCTCCTGAAGCGCACATCAACCAAATAACTGCTGCAGCATATGGGCGCCTAGCAAACCTCAGAACAGCATTCCGACATCTTAATAAGGAATCATTCAGGACCCTGTACACCGTGTATGTTAGGCCCATATTGGAGTATGCGGCACCAGTTTGGAACCCACACCTAGCCAAGCACGTGAAGAAACTAGAGAAAGTGCAAAGGTTTGCAACAAGACTAGTCCCAGAGCTAAGAGGTATGTCCTACGAGGAGAGGTTAAGGGAAATCAACCTGACGACACTGGAGGACAGGAGAGATAGGGGGGACATGATAACGACATACAAAATACTGAGAGGAATTGACAAGGTGGACAAAGACAGAATGTTCCAGAGATTGGACACAGTAACAAGGGGACACAGTTGGAAGCTGAAGACACAGATGAATCACAGGGATGTTAGGAAGTATTTCTTCAGCCACAGAGTAGTCAGTAAGTGGAATAGTTTGGGAAGCGATGTAGTGGAGGCAGGATCCATACATAGCTTTAAGCAGAGGTATGATAAAGCTCACGGCTCAGGGAGAGTGACCTAGTAGCGATCAGTGAAGAGGCGGGGCCAGGAGCTCGGACTCGACCCCCGCAACCTCAACTAGGTGAGTACACACACACACACACACACACACACACACACACACACACACACACACACACACACAGGAACAAGCACTTGTAAGCTGTAGTACACACGCAAACACACACATACACAGGATTTCACACCATCCTGTGAACTGACCATCTGAACCTTGCTCCTCTCCCCCCCTCTTCCTATCCTAAGTAGAGACCTATCTCTACCTTTCTCACTCTTTACCTATATCTCTCTCTCTACCTATCACTCTCTACCTATCTCTCTCTCTCTCTTCCCTCTCCCATCTCTCCCCCTCTAACATCTCTCCCCTCCCATTATCTCTCCCCTCTCCCTTTCCCCATCTCTCTCCCCTCCTCCCCTCCCTCTCCCCCTAGCCTCTCTCCCCTCTCGCTCTTCCATCTCTTCCCTCTTTCCCCCTTCTCCCCCTCTCTGCCCCCTCTCTCTCCCCTCTTTGCCTTCTCTTTCTCTCTCTCTCTCCCTCTCTCCCTCTCTCTCTCTCTCTCTCTCCTCTCTCTCTCTCTCTTGCTCTCTTGCTCTCTCTCTTCCCCATTTTTCCCTTCTAACTCTCCCCCTCTCCTACTCTTCCCTTCACTCTCTCTCCCCCTCTCTCTCTCACTCTCCCTCCCTCTCTCCTCTCTCCCTCTATTCACTCTTTCCCTCTCTCCCTTTCTCTCTCTCTTGGCTCTCTCTCTTCCCCATTTTCCTTCTTAACTTCCCCCTCTCCTACCCTTCCCACACTCTCTCTCCCCATCTCTCTCTCACTCTCACTCTTTCCCCTTTTTACTTCTCATATCCCACTCTCTCTACTTCCCTTCTCCTCTCTCTTCTCTTCTCTCTCCTCTCTCCTCTCTCTCGCTTCTCCTCTCATCTCTTCTCCATTTTTTCCCTTCTCATCGCACCCCTCTCCTTCCCTTCCCTTCTATTCTTTCCCCCTCTCACCCCCCCCCCCCCCCCCCCCCACCCCCCCCACTTCTCTTCCCCTCTTCCCTTTCTCATCTTACCGTCTCTCTCTCCTTCTACTGTCCCTTCTCTCTTCTCTCACAAAAAAAAAAAAAAAAAAAAAAAAAAAACTGTGGGGACTCGAAGGAACAAGGATCAGATGAGAATGGTTCTGGTAGGAAGAGAGGATGGAGGAGCAGTGGAAAAGGATGGAAAACAAGAGTGGGAAGTGAATATTAGGGAGCTTTCTGAAAAAATGGAGAAAGGAGCTCTTGTGGAATGGAAAAGGTTGGAGAAGGAGACAAAGAATTGGTGATTGCACAAGTCGAAAACTGCAAGTAGCCAAGAATAAGGGTCTAGAAGTTGGAGATAAAATAGCTGAAAGCGAGTTACAGGGGGTAGTGGACAGCAGGAAGACACAGCATATGAAATCTGCGAGGACCGAACAGGAAGGAAGGAATTATGATTTATGCTCTAAAGGTATATCAAGCCTGCCAATGGTGGACCATGGATGTGAATGAGAAGAACAGCTGGTTGCAGATGGAGAGGGTGATAGGTCGAAATGCTGAGCACAACCCAGGTAATCAAGAGCAACTGGAAAAATCAAGGGAGAAACTGACCAACATCAGGCAGGATCCAGAGTCAATGAGGGTGAGGCATTGGGAGGATGAATGGGCAAAAATCAGTGTTTATCCATGGGCTTCAGGAGAGAGAGGGGAAAGGTCTCACACTGAAAGGCAGCAGGAAGAAAGAAAAGGAGGATTGTGAAAATCATCACGGAAGGAAATAGGTGAAAGATGGACGAGATTGTAAAATTTTCAGGAGAATAGGGGGGGTACTCGTCAGGGTGAAAACTGACCAATCAAGTTGGTTCTCTGAGACGGAAAACAGTGCGGAACAGGATCCTCAAGAGAAACCACGGATTGAAATCTCGGAAGAGTAAACAGGTGTTCCTAGACAGAGACAGAACAAAATCAGAACGACAGAGCTGAGGGAGAGGACAAAAGCGAAAGGAGCGAGAAAAGAGGACCAAAGGATGGAACCAGCAGAGGTTCAGTCAGAGCAGGAACAGAAACAGCAAGGGCAAGCACACACACAACTCTTCTCAGAACCATACAACATATCACACCACCAACTCACACTACAATCCATACCACAGCCTTTCCACCAACACCGAGCTTAGAATCCCACAGTATGCCACCAGGTCTCCCACCCTCACAGGCCCCCAAAACCCACAGTGTTGGAAGGAAAACTGAAGGTATGGTACACAAACGCTGATGGTAATAACAAAACAAGTGGGAGGAGTGGCATGAAAGAGTCAAAGAGCATCCACCGGACATCATATCTCTCACAGAAAACCATGCTTTCCAGGTATGTTAAACACGGATCACCACCTTTCCATCGGGATACCAAATCCTGAGAAGACAGAGGGACAGGGGGAGGTTGAGGAGTGGCGATGCTGATCAAATTCGCTGGGGAATTTGATCGAGCTGGAGAGAGGAGGACCAGACGGAGAAGATGAATATGTGATTACATAGCTGGCGAACACTTCACTCTGGAGGTCCCAACGGTGGTAAATAGCTAGTGAGTGATGTATAACCCACCAAAGAAAAAGCAGGAGGCCAGGCAAGAGTAAACGAGGAGCAGTAGGCGTGGTTGACACACTGGTAGAGTGGCCAGAGAGCTCATGCATTGCAGGGCAAATGTCTCCTGAATCATGGGTTGACTTTAACCACAAGGAGATCGAATGCGTGAGACTTGGACCCCATGGGAGGCCAAGTTACATTGAAGGGCTTAGATGTTGGAGTGGTTCTGGAAAACTTCATGATACCAACACGTTAAGGGACACTACAAGAGAGAGCAGGGAGGATGAACCAGCAAAGGTGGATTAGTATTCACCTTGAGTAGTGCAGATTGAGGACATCCTCATATGAAAGTCCTTGGGGCCAGTGACCTATGTTGTTTTTTTTTTTTAAGCTTCGAATACCACAGTAGGCTAAAGTGGACGGGAAGAAGCAGGAAGGCCAGGACGAATGAAGCCAAACTTTACAAGAAAGGGGACTTACACAGGAATGAGAACTTCCTGTACGGGGCTTACTGTGGGACAGAGAGGAAACTGGCTGGGAAGCTGTTATGAGATGTTTGGTATTTGTTGCTAACAACAATGCAAGGAGGTGCTGAGGAAGAGTTTGTACCAAGGGTAACAGGATAATGAAAAAAGCAAGGTTGAGGCCATTGGGTTAACCAAAGGTGCAGGGAAGGCAAAAAAAAACCAAGTGTGTAGGGAA